GCCACAAATTAGATTTTATGTTACTGCTTCAGCTATAAAGTAGTATATAAATGAACTGGCTTTTAGCTGGCTTTCATAGGAAACTGCTCTTAATGATAGGCAACGATCATTTTTATTATCAGAGCTGAATGCAAGTAAGAACATGCAACTATATTTAAAGTGCAAGTCTACCCTTATCTCCTTTGCCCCTCACATATTCTATAGCTTTTCTCTGCTTTGTTGCTTCTTTCTTTGCCAATATCTCAGCCTGACAAGTTACATTAATCAGATTATAGGAAAGAAAAATAAAATCACAAGGAAAGAACTGTTAATGTTTAGCATTTTTTGACAGGAAAAAGTAAGAGGACTACAAGTACTGCCCAAGTAGTATTTAAGCTGCCTATAGTGACACAGTTATTCTAGTAGGGTTGGGTGTTTCTTTTTGGTTTTATTTGGGTGGGAGGGGTATTTTTTTTTTAAGTTTTCAAAATTATTACATCCTCAAACCCCTCCTTATGCCACAGTAAACTCCTAAGTTCAGCTCCAGAGATTTCCTTTAAGAGATCTTTATTTTATACCAGAGCAAAACCCAATAAAAGCAAAGTGGATTATAACAAGGCAGGGATTTCACTGATATATAAATATGTGCATTTTTTTTGGCTTTGTGGTCACGCTGACAAATAAACTCTTGATCTCCCCAGTGCAGCTGCCTGGGAGCAGCATCATGTCTGTGCTGCACACGACAACTTCTGGACATGTTTTTAGGCACTGCTATATAAAGCTGTGAACAGTCTGGTACAGTCATCATCCAAGTGAGTCAGCTGGGCCTGAATCACTCAGAGATGTGCACTCAGACTGAATGGATCTGTCTTTTGAGATGGGGATGCTTTGGCATTGTTACATTTCCACCTGCTTGGGTGGTGGTGGTGAGATTCAGTCTTCAGTAATAACTCAAAATAAACAAGCTTTATAACCTCTTTGACTTTTTTTTGTTCCTTGATAGAAATAAGATTCAAACAAAACAAAACAAAATTTGTGCGGGTGGGGGTTGATTAACGAAATGACATCCCATGGGAAAGTTTTATGTACATTCGTGTGCACAACTTTTTTCCCTCTGTGAATCCAGAAACACAGAGCTGTTCTGACTTGAGGTGGCTTCTCCTAGACTGTTAATCACACTCCCTCTTCATCTACAGGACTTGGAAAGATTGGCACAGCACCACCTAAATTAACTGTACACTAACAAAGAATTTCTCCAATGGAAGCATCCTTTGTTTCACTGTTGGGACAAATCCCCAATCCTCTTGTGCCTCTTCCTAATCATAAAAGGGAAAAAATTGCATGGACCCATGCACAGCTTTCACAAATAACATTACATAAATCTGATAGAAAGACAACTACTCATACAGTGTATAATTATTCTTTTAGTAGTCCTCCAGATTTGTTTCTTCTCATACATTTTATTCTCATTTTGTTGTACATTCCTCATCACGGTTATTAGGCTTTAAGATACCCTTGACAAATATATAAAGGGCAATATTCCTCACTGGCATCAAATTATGTTTAGGGTTTTTTGAGTTAGTAGGTAATGTACCAGTAAAAGAATAATTAATTCCTGAAGGACTGAGCACAAAAACAAGCATACATTTGTCTGAAAAAGTGAAAAGTTTGACTAAACAGAAAGTTTATGAATTATCACGCTGTCATCCAACTGGATCAGTAGCCTTTTTCATGTTGTTTACTAAATGCCAGGCAAATTAGGACAGCAATGAATCACATGGTTCCAGAATTAACTGATGACTTTTGGAGACTTTTTTTTTTCCCCATGAATTAAGGCTTTTGGTAATGAGGAGTTATAATAATCAGAATGCAAAATGTCTTGGATTCACAGATTTCATTGGTTTTTTTTATACCCTATATTTTATGCCTGTAAAGACATTTCTCATGACTGGATGTGAAGCAACACACACATGTAAGAGTCATGCAGAACAGAGGAATGTCTTGTAAAACTCACCCAAGGAGATTCTTAAGATTTGCACTAATTTTAGAGAAAAATCTAAATCTAGAATTTGTCTAGAAAGTTTGTTATGCCAGCTATGGGGAACTCAGCTAAAAAGATGTTATTAAATAGCATTCACTACCCTACAATCTGGGGAAAAAAATGTTTCTTTAAGGCATGATCCATCAAAGCAAGACAAGAAAAAAACAGAACAAAAATGATATTTGAGAATATATGGATAGTTTCTCAACTTAATGTCCTTATAAATTCTTTCATGTCAAAAATCTTATTGTAATATGAAGCAGAGGTGTCAAAGGAAAATATGTTTATGTGGTACTTTTTGCTCAGCTAGCAACAGATAGTAGTGAGAAACCTGACCTTCTCTGAAATGGCTCTTATGTCATGAGGTTCAGTCTTGTATTTCAGGATGGCAGAACCCCACAGCAGGCACTGAAAGCCTGTGAACATTATTTGTTTATGGGTCCAAGAAGGACAGGGGATGAGGAGACCCAAGGAGATGCACCTTGTCCAATTCCCTGTGCCACGGGAATCAAGCATTTTGAAAGAAAGTCAGGAGAAAGGAAGTCATACAACTTCAATTCCTGAATATCTGAAGTCACTGTCTCCCATGCATTTACAAAGTGTCTCTGCTAAATGTCTTTGCCACTAATTCAGGGAATCATTTTCTCCATTGAACTTGGAAATTAACTCTTCATCAGAGTCCTACTGACTTCTGTTTTGAAAGCAAAACCAAACAAGCTGGTGCCTTTGGCTTCTTTGCAGAGCATATCTATAAATTTTCTCCCCTTGTTCTTTGATCTGTCTCGATTTGTGGTTATTTTTCACTGTGGCACCTCCCCTTATCCCCCATTAGAAACAGCATTCCAGTTGTCTTCCACTGTTGGTTAAAACACCAGTTACTTCAGCCTTGTCCTCATTATTCACAATTGATTTCTCTATTTTTGTTATTCATCTAGTGTATTTCTAAGCACTTTCGTTTTGTTAAATTTCTCACAACTTGCTCATTTCATTTTGCACCCAGTTTCACACCCATTTTCCTGTTTCTTCCACATTGATATCTTCCACGATTTATGTTTTAGTAACCTCTTGTTTTTGTGTCTCAGTGAGGTTTGATATCTTAGATTGCTAAAAACCAAACTTCTTTAGTTCATTACATGTGTCTTATTTTTTCTCTGCATTGGGATAAACTATCATTTTCCTTTCAATACAAGATTTTAAGGAAAGGGACTTCCCACATTCATTTGTCCCTTTGATTATCTCCCCAACAGACTCTATGTACCACTTCCTTGAAGTGGCCCCATCTTTTCAGCCCTTTTGCTACATTCATATCTTTCTTTCTGTGAAAAGTGAATGCTCATGTTTCAGCAGTTGATCACCCAATTTTCCTTCTTTTACTTTCCACTAAAGCAGCATCTCTGTAAGTGTAGCATTAAATTGCATGCATTCCCTCATGTGTTAGAGCTGAAACTCAGAAGAGAGTTCTCCCTTTTCAGACTTTTCTATTGATGCTGGACACATAAATAGTGAAAATGAACACTCCAAAGGAAAACAAATGAGGTCCTAAACCACACTTAGGAGGTGAGACAATGCATTAAAAACATCAGTACAATCATAACAATGACATAATTATGACCACACAACAAACAAAACAATTCATGAAGGGCAGAAAACTGCAGCACAGCACACCAAGAGCATCATCCTTCCAGAATGTGAGCCCTCAGAAAGTTGGAAGCTTCCGTGCTTTACACAAAACTCCCTTTTATAAAGACATTCTGTTCCTTTTCAGGAAATGTTATTCTTGCAACCTCTTAGACCTATCAATACCGTTTTCCATGGTCTAGCTTTATCTCTCTCTGAAGGAAAAGGATTACTACAACACTTCCTCTCTTCATTAAAATAATAGCAATTTCACATTAAAAGTAATATTGAAGATTAAAAAACGTAATTTTAGGTTTGATGTCAGTTTATCACACGAAGGCCACATTATTAAAATATCTGTGCCCTGTGGAGGAAGAATTTAGGTGATCTGACACCATCACAATCTTTATTCTTGCAGGTTAGGCAGGTCACTACAACTGACTAATAACAACACTTCCAGAAAGAAAATATTTCTTAACTGTCTTAACTTTCCTGGCCTAACTACACCTCATCATGTCAACGTTTGCAGTGTGGTAAAAGAATATAATTTCCTTTCTTGTGCAGGGGAAAGCTTTCAAGAGACCACACAGGAACCTTCTGCCATTTCATTTACCACAAGAGATTTGTAGCTACCCAGAAGATGATAATCTGCAAAACCTTCTGCACACATCTTCCCTATTTAACAGTTATCTGATCAGCCACTGAATAAAAGAGTAAAATAACCTTTATATTTTGCTCATAAAGAAATGAAGCATTACTAGAAACATTTGAAAAGCTATAACAGAAAAAAAACCCAACAGATGGGGGTCAGGGAGGGGAGAGAGAACTTTTAGCTCACTTACTCCAGCTCTGGTGAGATAACAACACCCTTAAATTAGGAATGCCTTAAACTGTAAAAGGCTAACAAGGGTGATGCAATGCAATGCCTCTTTGTTATCAAGCAAGATTTCACCAACAGAAATTCCAGTGCTGAGACACCTAGCTTGTTTCAAATGGTAGCACCCAAAATAACCAGCCTTAAAAGGTCATGTTTATTTAAAAATAGCTTGCTTGCATTTTACATTAAAGTTAATTTACTAACCTTAAAAAATTAAATGCAAATGTATACAAATAATTTAAGCATCCTGTCAAAGTTCACACACACACTGCTAGAGCAATGACAACATTCAAGGTCATACGATATCTTTCTTAACCCACGTATCACCCTGTGGATTATTCTGTTAAATACATACTGAACTGAAACACTTGCACCCTCTCTTTAGCAATTTCTATACTTGTTAAAAAATAAAAAAATAAAAAATCAAAGCTCTAATTTCCTATTTATCATGTGCTTCCCAGGCCATAACAAAGAAGGATACTGTACCTCTGATGCTGGTGGCTGTTGCCGATGTGCTTGTGCTGGCTTTTAAGGCTACATTGGTTGTGACTGTTGCAGTGGTAAGGGAGGGGATGACAGTAGTGGAAAGCAAAGTGTTGAAAACATCTGGTGAGTGGAAAAAAAAATAAAAAAATAAAATCAAAAAATAAAATCACATCATGCAAACAAAGGAGAACCATAATAGTGGTTTAATTTGTAAATACAAGCATGTTGAAAATGACTAAATTAAAACATGATTAACATAAATTATTACAGGTACAACAGAGTACCTTTAAATTCTTGACATTTATCACTCTCAGTTTTTATAGTCAATCTTTGAGTACATGGAATTTAGAACTCTGTTAAAATGACCACATTTCCACAGAACGAGAGAGAGTGACAGTTTAAGTGACAAGAATCCATTTCTTCGCTGAGCCATTTTAAATGTCTCACGTAGTAGAAACCATATACAGATGAAACATGCTGTGTCAGAATGGGAGATGAAAAAAAAAACAACAAAACACCATCATGCTAAAATAAACACACACATGTTAACGAGAAATGGCTGCATGTTAAAACACCCACTTTCAGACAGACTCAATGAAGGGAAAAAGGGGAGAAAATGCTACTAACTATAAGAGCTGCTTTTTCCGGATTGCTTTTCTTCTTCCCACACATTTGCTTAAGACACAGTTGTCTGCTAAGATCCAGAGCAGAGTATATTTCAAAATCTTTACCCTAATTTGCAGGCACAGTCATCTTTCAGTCATCCTTAATGCTCATAATTTATTGTTAGTACACATCAGTACTTTTCTAAAACACCTTCAAACTAAAAATCAGAAATGATAATAATATTACTGATAAAAAAGCATGCATGCAAGTCAGAAAAAATCCATATATAAAATGATGACAGCATCCTATAAAACCCTTCAGATTTTGCTGAAGCAAGTGCAAGTATGCCAGGATAAGGAGCACAACTGCTTCTCTGCAGAGGAACCAACAATCCCTGATGCAGAATGCTCCAGTGCAGAGCAGAATACAACCAGATGTACACATAGAAAATACTTGGATTACACTGCCAGAAGCAATAAAGACCAATAGGACTTTGCTTATAAGGTGATTGCAGGTTTTAAAGAACAAACAAACAAGAGCTCTGAAGAGAACTAGAGAAAAGCACTTCTGAGAAGACATAAAAAGCATCTAGCATTTTTCAGATTATTTATATCACAGGTTTGAAAGGGAAGGACTCATTTCTCAGCAGTTGATGGTGAGTAACCCATTCCATACTGATTTCACTGAAAATATTTCTGAAGGGCGCTATTTAGTGCAATAAAAGAGCAAAAATCTGACCCACAATCTGTCATCCCTTGCTGTGGAAAGAAATGCAATTGGTCCCTGAGTACCATCAATTCTGGCTGAAATCAATGGAAGCTGAAGTAGCTCAGAGCTTTTCAGTATTGGGCCCTACAGAACACACTTCAGACACAGGGTCCTTGAGCTCAGCATTGCATAATTACTCTCTTAAGGCTTCAAAGTAGCACACTTACCTTATTTCCATGCTGGATGACAGATTATTTCCCAAGTTTAAAAGTCTCCTTGTTAGTTAATATGTTAACAGTTGATAAAAACACCACTATGCTCTCTGGAATCTACACTTGTGTGATCTACTTCTGAAGCCATCAGGAAACAGTATAAAATCCATCTTTCATCTGTACACTGATTTTTAATCTAATATGCACTGATATTTAATCAAATTCCCAGTATAAAATATTCTCAAGACAGAAAAATTAGAACAGGCTTTTAAAAACCCTCCGAGTTGTAGCCATATTAATCACCAGGAATAATGATAATATTACCTGCAGTGTGAGTACCACAATAATGAAATAGAACTGAGTATAACAAGCATTAGAAATAAATTAACATGTTAAAAAGATACATGTCACATGTACTGATCTATGCAATTTCTTCTCATAAAAGGAAACTCCTTCCCTGATAATTTTCTGTTAAAAATTAAATCAAAGAGAAAAAAAACCCACCTACTTCATAAGGAGAGAAAAACCTTGTTTATTAGAAAAGCTTTATACATCATTCTTGTACGTAAAACTAATTAATGGTTCCATTCATTATCTTTCTTAAATACCAATTACTTAAGACTGCAATGACAAGTTACGGTTTTGTGACAGTGTTATCCAATCTGCAAGCACACTGTTTACCTATTTTACCAAATAATAGCTTACATGAGTCACTGGTGAACTTAGAACTTTCTGGTTTCTCTTCTGGTTGAAGCATTTCAAGCAAGATTTCTTATTTAAAATGAAAGGCTACCTAGGAAGCATTCTAGCTAACGTGAACTAGGACATGTCAGTGTTTTAATACAGACGTGATCTCATCAGATTAAGAATAATGAAAACTTGTGTAGAAATTAGTTTCCTGATGAAAGTCTCAAACTCTGATGCCAAACATCAAAAAGCAAGCCCGGCAGAAGCCTCAAAGAAAATATATCTTCTCAAAAGGGACGCAAAACCAAGGAATAACATTTGGTTTCTTTCTTTCCAGAGTGAGCTGGAATTCACCATGCAAACGATTGCATCTGATTGCTTTGCCCACAGCAATAGCAGGACCTGCTCCTACAGACCACAGCATGGGAGAGAAACCAGGAATCAGCAGCCTGTGGAGCATTTCACTGCCCAGGCAGTGAAATCTGAGTCTGTTCTGGACTCTAGAAAGGTTTGGTTGGTACCAGCTGAGGTTCGAGGCTCTGCCCAGTGGAGTCACCTCATAAACAACGTGAGAGTCTGCAACAGGAATGTGCAAAGTAACCAAATAGCTCATAGTTCTCCAGACAACACTTTTTGGAATGCCTGGACTATATCTCATCCTTAAATCCTACTCTGGAGAGCCCAGATCCAAGCACAGCATTCTGAAATGATCCCCACGTTGAAAAGACTTGTGTGTATGGTGCCTGCTGAGTCTGATGGAAAGGCTCCTATCAGTTCTTCCAAGATTTATGGGTTCTCGTGAAAACTTTGTCTTTGCCTTGAAAAGGCTTCTGCATAAGAGAGTACAGACTATGCAGTTCAAGAAATAAACTAGAAGTAATGTCCAGTGCTCCTCAGTCTCTCATTGCAGGAATTGGTGGCAAATGGGTTTGGAAGCTCCCAAAAGCACAAGGACTATGGATAAAAAAATTATACTTAACAGCACAGGCTTCTGTTTAAGCCATATGAATCACTGTGCTGCTCCATTTCATGCCAGCAGAGGGAATTACAATTTGACCTGTTTCTAGTCCTGCAGGACTTTTAGTCTTTTTTTATTTTATTTTTATTTTTTTTAATGCAAAGCAAACCTCTCTTATTTCACTAGGGAGGCACAGGTTGTCATCCAGAGCTCCCTGCTGGCAGCTGCTCAGAACATGCTATCCAGGGGACAAAGTAGATTTGTCCTCTTGAGCTTTCTGTCAGGGAGGATCTTAACAGAATGGATTTGCAGATTTCTCCCCAAGAAATCTGTGCTGGAGTGAAACTAAATTCCACTTACTTGTCTTGCAATTTCTGAATCTAGTTGTACACAATGTTCAGCTGAAAATGAATTTTTGTTTATGACTCTCATGCCACTAAATACCAAGGATCATTATGACCAAGAGACCTTGCAGAGTGGAGCTTTTTAATTCAAGTAGCCATACCCAAATCACTGCACCAGATTACTATTTCAATAATACTAAGGTATTAATCCTTAGCCTCCTGTGAAGCAGAAAATAGCTATATTTTGCAGATGGGGAACCAAAGAGGATAAAAAACCATGCTCAGGAGATCTAGAAGTCAAGCAATAACTGTCTCCATTAATTTTGAAACCTCACTTCTAAACTGGATGTTTGTTGACAGACAGATATTCAGTCAAAAATCCAATAATGTAATTAAGTTGGCATTAACTTCATCATCTTGCTATCTTTAAAATGCAAAGAACTAATGGAGAACTAATTGTTTCCACGAAAGCTGTTGGAAATAGAAAAGGGAATGACCTTCACGCCAAGGGACTCCCGTGGACCCTCTGACACTTCTGTCCCACAGGTGATTCAGGTGAGGTTTGAACAGGAATTTAGTAAGAAAGATGTTCTTGACCTCTCTCCAGTGGCACAGAGAGGTTTGAGCTGAGCTGCAAACGCTCAGCCCAGAGCCCTCATTTCAGTGAGGACCTGGCACAATGACAGAGCTCGGTGCTGCAGGGAGGAGGAGGAGGCTGAGGAAGGCTCTGGAAAGGTGTTCCTTGTGCCACAAGCAGGAGCCAGGGCAGAGCAGCCAGCAAGCAACCTGAAGGCTGATTCCCAGTGGATGGTGGAAAAAGGAGGAACACCGGGCTGGGTGTGGAAGCTGCTCTTAGCAGAGGCACAGATGCAAACTGCTTAGGAGTGGCAGAGCAGCGTTGTACAAGATCAGCTCAAAGCAGTGTCAAGCCCCACCTGCTCAGAATTTCCTGTTTGCTTCTCCTTCCTCCCTGAATTGATGCTGCCTTCTCCTTGCTAAGGCAGGAGACATCCATCCATTTAAGTGCAGGGAGCCTGGATAATTTACTCTTCCTGCCAATTTGGCCCTGAGCATTTTTACTCTCCATTTCCAAAGAAATGAGAAATGGTTCTGTTTGGTTTAGTGGGCTTATGTGAAAGATAGATCTGACCTATTGAAAATATTTGACTTTTTTGGTAAAAACACAACCGATATTTTGACATGACTGAGCACAAATCAGACAACAATAGCTGCAGCTGATAAAAATGTAAAGGCTTTTGTTTCAAGCCTGACAAAGGCTGACAGAAAAATTAAAGGACAGAGTGATAATGATGGATGGTCCTTGCTGTATTTTGACTGAGAATGAAAGAAATTTTAAGTGGTAAACTGAACTGAGTGATGACCTACCTGGGAAACAATCTCACTACTCTGTGAAAAATTTAATCAGTCTGTGGTATGTAGCACTAAATAATTTAGCAAGGTTTTAAACTCAAAGGGAGCTGCATTTACCTTGCTCCAAGAAAATGAGATTGAACAAAAGGATCACTCAGCTTGAACATCATGTGCCAATAGCTCCTTAGCACTTAGACTGAATGATCATGAATGCTCATGGACACAAGGTCAAGG